GTAACTAACTAGGCTTGCATATTTGGTTTTTTATAGAAATAATGAGGCAACTTAACAGATTTGAAGTAAGGACATCAAATATTAATTAATTAGTTAAACAACACCACGTTAGTCATGTTATACTGTCAGTCAAGTAAAGTTTAACTCATAATGTTCTCCACATAGCAATTACTTCCATTTTCCCTTCACTTTCAAGTTTTAATTTGTTATAGAAATAGAATTCTAGAGCAGTGTTGTCAAAGGTGAAAGGTGCTAAAAGGCGCCAAACCTGTAAAATACCCGAGTTTCTAGGTGCACGCCCGAATGAACCAAGGCGATATGCTATAGATTAAAAAAAATATATGTATAATATTATATTATATTATATTATGTAAATCTAAAATATATAACTTCCCAATTAAGATTAGATCAATAGAAAATCAAAAGAAAATATAAAATACTATAATATAGTTTATATAAAGTTATATTTTTCACTCTTAAAACAAAATAGATAATTTAAAGTAGTAAATAGTCAAATAGATTAAAAAGCAAAATTAAATATCATCAACATTATTCACTAATCTTCATCCATGCTTTCCTGTTCTCCTATTCTGTACTTGTGCTATTGTTCTCTGACTCTGTTCAATGCAAAGTTTGGCTGATATTTCTCTTCAAGTGTCCTTCCTTCATCCCACTTTAATGATTTTTTTATTCTTGTTTTACCCTGATCTTTGTTCTTTTACAAAAAATACCCCTAAGCCCAATTTTTGTGTTAAATTAGAAAAGGACAAATAGGTCAAACATAAATCAGTTAAAAAAAATCCAACAGAAAAAGAAGTATCTCAATCAGGTGCTCAAGCGAGCACCTGACGTCCACTCACGAGGTGCTCACCTAGGCAGCGCTTCATTGAAATTTTTCGCTTGAGACTAATAAAGGTGTTGTGGCCTCGCCTTGCCTGGAGTGCCTCTTGACAGCACTGCTCTAAAGGCAAAGAAGTTCTCACCTTGACAGGTCAAAATTATGTTATTTGCCCCTTCATTATCAACTGAATTGGTGAAGGAGAGGATGGAGTGTTTATGAGGAATAATTATGTCCAGATCTTATCAGTCTATCAAAAAATTAATTAGTTATGAGAAGTTATCAATATAATATATTTATGACGTAAGTTTTCTTAATTTTAGATTTTGATATTTTACTGGCCCAAATATAGAATGAAGAATTGCTGCATCATAAACTCCCTGAATATTTGTTTACAGATTACCGTTTTCAGAAAATTATTAAGTTTTCCCATTATATACAATTTTAAAGTGTTATTAACTGCAACTTTTGTTATCATTTTGATTCAGCTACCGCAGCAGGAAAATTTGTATGACTGTGGCCTGTTCTTACTCCATTATGTGGAGCTTTTTCTTGAAGAAGCTCCTATTGATTTCAGTCCTTTTAAGATAACAGAGTTTTCAAACTTTGTAAGTGATTTTGCATTTTTCTAGTTTTGCATCTGTTGAATAATCTTCGCAGTTGGGACTTCTTTTATGGTGATTCAAGTACCTGCGTTGCTTCATCTCTGAGACAAGACTTTCTGTTTAGAATACATAAATATTCATTATAATCCTAGTGTTATTAGTGCTAAGCGTTTCCAAGTTAAGGAATCTTGGCTTCACATTGCTATTATCTCTGAAAGGTAATCCCCTATGATTACTGATGATTTTGGCTCCTTCTGTATATGATCAAATTTGCAATTACAGCATTGTTTTCTGAATACTGGTTTGCTTTTCATAGTAAACTGTTATTTTTTTATTTAGTTTGCAATTGCATTTGTGATTTAACTTCAGCTGCTTTGCTCTTATTATCAAGTTGTGGTAGTCTTTATAACTATATAAACTGCAAGAATTGTTAGAATTTTCTATGAATAAAATTGACAAACTTCTATTTTCTCTTGCTTTCTGTTCCCTCTCTCCCTGCTTCAATTTTCGTTATGGGATCAGGACTAGAGGTCCTCATCCTGCTTTCCTGGACCATGAAGTTAGCAGGAATTGAATGCTCGTGTCCATTATCTTTATATTTGGCAATTGTTTTCTGAATTTTTGAAAAAAATGGCAATTTTCAGATTTTGGGTAGTTACAAATTTTTTAATCTTTAACCAGCTTAGTAGAAATTGGTTTATACCTGGGGAGGCCTCACTGAAAAGGACACACATCCAGAAATTGATCTGTGAAATCATTGAAGATCAGTCTTGTACTCAATCTTCTGATCCAAATGAGCAAGAAACACTTCAGATTCAGATTTCACTCACAGCAAAATCTCCAATCAGTGTTGCGCAGCGACGAAGACTTGAAGAACTAGGATTGAATTCCAGGGATTTGCTCAAACCAGGAACTAGTGCAAGGTTTCTTTCCAATGGAAATTGTTGGCAGACAGGAACACTTCATTGGAGGACTTGCATGTCACCTGTGGAGGTAATAGTTTTATCTTTCCTGATGATGAACAATAGTTTCCTATGCAAGTTACTGAATTTTTTTGCGTTGTCTGGAAACAGGAAGCTGAGGAAACTGGTGAACGAGTCTCTGATTCATCATTAGACACAGAAGATGATCAGCTACCTGCTGGCTTGGCAATGGAATTTCCCTCAACCTCACTTTCTCTCAAAGACCTTAGATCTCTTGGTTCATCGAGGAATCAAAAATACATGCAGCTTGGGGAACCTTATGACGACTCCAGTTCAGAAGCATCTATCAGTAGATCCCTGAAATCATCAGAGATAGGGGTGGTAGGGGTTGATGACGATCGTTTGCATTCACAATTTGAGGGATTAGACCATCAAAAACACACAGATTGCCTTGAACTTTCTCCAAAATCAACGGAGCCTGAGGAATTTGTTGAGGACTCTCGAGAGGGAAACTGCATGCACAATGACCATGTGACTAATGATTCGCCATCATCCTTTCATAACACTGGCAATTGCAATAAACTTGGCTCATCAATTGACGAGATGAGCACTGCCGAAAACTTTTTGAGAGGAGCCCAAAAACCCGTTATCGATTTGACATCTGATGAACATACTGCAGAGAGGACAAAGCATACATCTGACGGCATTTGATTTCGCTGAGGAAGCATTCCTGAAGAATTGCACCTAACTGTGAATAGCAGTGTTATATCAGTACTTATTCTTTAAGGGCTCGTAAGTAAGGAAATGGACAGAACTTTGAAGGGTCTTCAGGGTTGTAAATATTATAGAAAGAGGTAGAGAAAAGAAGAGAATGGCGGTGAGTGGGCTTTTCTGTGGCACATTAACCTTGATTCCACAGAGATTGGTGCTACGTACAGAAGAGCACATATTTTGAAGCCCTCAAGGGAGGTAAATAGAACAAACAAGATCATTGAAAGAAAGTGAGTGCTTGTGCAATGGTTGACTTTTCCTGGATGCTGAAAAGGCTCTCTATAAGCAATGATCAATGCCATATGGTTTGAACTTAATGCATTTCTGCAGCATCAATTTACCTTTTTTAATCCTAACTTGTGTAGATATAAATGGGGAGGCATTAGAAAAAGCCCTTTCCCTTCCTCCCATCTTGAGCTTTCCACCATCAAGCCTTGCTAAGGTAATTAACAGTAAAGCCAGATCCAATGGCTGTCTTAGAGAGAGCTCCCTGATCCGTGTTCATCTCAGCTTCGCATCCTGGCTGGGTTCATCTTCTTTCTGATGAAGTAAAATTTGCACTACCTTGAGCGATGCATCTGCTCATGATCTGATAGAGAGAGTCTTGGGGATGCTCTTGTGTAAATTATAATTTAGACCGTTTGATTTTATTGATTTTGTCAAATCATAGACTATGTCTTTTAAACAAAGTAGACTGTTAATTCTTTTCTAAACGTATGTGTTTTGGGCTTGGTCTTTAGCAACATAACAAGGGATAATTAATGGCTTGCTCAAGTTCCCCTCTCTATGGAACATGTGTCTCTCCTAATGTACTAGCTTCGTCACCCTTCAAAGGATTGAAAAAACAAAGAGTCTAAACGATGTTTATAGTCAGTGGATCTCTTAATCCACTATTTTTATACGAGAAATGCTACATAATGGAAAAAAAAACAACATTCTTAAATATAATAGTGATGAATGTCAAACATTATGTTCTCTTTCGCTTTTGTTTTTTGTTTTTTGTTATAGTTGTTCCAACATGGGATTTTCTTGTTTTGTTTTGTTTTGTTTTATTAGGATATTTTAACGATAAAGATTGCAACTTTGGTGCATTATTGTATTTTTGTTCTTATGTTTGTTAATGACAAGATGGGGTTTTTAATTTCAACATTGAATTATTTCAGCTTTGAATGACTCAATTGATGTGTTAAAATACATTAATTTGTGGTGTTTAGTACATGTGAATTTGATTATTCATTTGGTTGTTTTTTATTTATGTTCTTGGTCTCCATATTAAATATAATTTGTTTTAATATTTTATTTTAAATATAAAAATTATAATAAGTTATTTAAATTTATTTATGATTTGAATTGAATTCTTCAAGAATTCATATATATATATATATATATATATATATATATATATAT